GCAATTGCGGCATCTTCACTTGTTCTTGTTTCTCTAAGCTCTTTTCACTTGCTCCCATACTTGACAATGCCATTGGGCAACACTACAAAAAATGAGGCCAAAGGTTATTAATCAAATGGAATGAGATAGTTCAATTTTAGTCGAAAATGGATCTACTTGATACAATGGTAAAAAACTACAAGCAGTGAATAATTAGGGATAGAATTAGTTGTTGCTTCGTTATTGTGGAAATGTGTATTAATTCAATGAAACAACAAAATTCAACTCATTTAATTCTTGCTCATACACATCGATTGAAATCTCTAAAACAAAAACACGTTAAATTAAAATCTAGTGCAAATCGAAGTGAACAGAGAATGCGAACTAATATAATAAAAATCAATTCACTAAAAATTATAGAAATAGGGTTTGATCAAACCTAGGTGTTAATGTTTACGAAAAAATTTGAATAAAAATTATGGAACTTTGTTGGCACCAAGCTGTAAACACTGTCCTAAACGCATCTTCGGCAGCAATTTGGATATGTTCGTTGTTGTGGAAGATGAAGGGCTATTCGCTGCTGTGGAAGATGAAAGCAATGCTAGTTTGTTTAATGGAAATATGTCTGATTTGTTTAATGGGGGAGAGTTGTTTTGCTAAAATGGTGTCGTTCAATTTATGGGGCTGTTTTGTGACGCCATTTACACAAAATGCCATCGTCTCAATTAACAACATGGTGTGCTGTTCGACTTCTAAAAGCAGAGGAGCCGGAGCCTTATATATACACAGGTTATTACCCGTGCCTGAAGGCACTATATAACAAATAAAATAATCTTAAACAATTGTCCAAATTTAAAAGGAATAACCCAAAAATATTCATACCAATTATTCTTCTAAAATGACTCAAAATATATCGTCGACTAAATTCTCTATATTAATATATAAAAACTTCCCAAAACAACACCATATATACAAATGCCTATGGAAAAAAAATACTAACATAACACATTAAAATTTACAATCTTTAAGTAATAAATAAAATCTTAGGGTCTGATTGGTTTGTATTTCAAACAATAGTATCCGAAAATAATTTTTGAAAAGAGTTTTAAGAAAGTGTGTTTTGATATTTTTATATTGCGAAACTTGTTTGGTTATATGTTTTTAAAAATAGTTTTAAAAAACAAAAAATTAAAACCTATTTGGACAATAATCTACAAACCCCCTAATTTTAATCTCCATTCCCATGTATCTCTATCTTTCGCGTCTCTCTCTCGATTATCTCCTTTCAATCTCAATCTATACAACACACAGAAAAATTCAATACACCTAATCCGCCATTGCTCCAACTTTTACAATGTGTGTGTGTGTATATATATAGATCTCAAACAGTTCGTGTGTGTGTATATATATATCTAAGTAGATATAGATCTAATAGATATAAACACAGTGATAAACTATTTCTAAATAGATATAATAGATCTATATCTGTTGGGTTCAAAGAGTAAAGCTTCACAATGAAGCCCAGGCAGAGAGGGAGTGTTATGAGAGGGAATAGAGAAGAGTTGAGAGACAGAGAGAGAAAGAAAGATGAGTTGCTATCAGAGAGATGATGGATTGAATTGGTACTGAACGAGAGAAATGAGGGGCTGAATGGTGGAAATGTTTCCAACAAAGATTAATGTCTAGACCTCATTAAAGACTCTCATGTGATCTTCGTGTTTTCAAACTTTCTAAAAGCTTGTTTGGAAAGTGGGAAAACGTGTAATTCTTGTTCTCTATTTTTTGATCTCATTTCTCACTTTTTTTGAAAATTTGTTTTTGAAAAATCCTAACCAAACAACATTTCACAATATTTTGGGTTTTGAGAACAAAAACCTAGTTTTGAGACACAAACCAAACACCACCTTACTCTTTTATAAGACTAGTGAATTTATCACCTCTACCATCACTCATTCCAATAACAAAAAATAATTATAAACTCAACCATCATATTTCCAATCAACTCTATATTTCCCATGAAATAATTACCTTAAGAAAAAAAAAATTAGAATACAATTAAATTCACAATCTTTAAGCGATAAATAAAATCAACCAAATTTTACTTATTTATAAAACTCACGAAGTTATCACCACTATTACCATTCAACTTCAAATGACATAATATAATTATAAATTTAATTACCAATTGTTCAATCCTCTATATATAAATTTACACAGAAACACACACACATTTTTTTTTTGGCTATCAACATACCTTCCTAACCGACAACTACTTTTATTAAAAATACAACAATTCAAGTTTTTAAGATAAAATATTAATAAATTAATATCTAATTAAAAAATAGGATAAAAAATACAGACATCTCTTAATTTTTGACAATATTATACGGACACCTCTTGACATTTTATAAATAATATGGAAACCCCCTGAGGTTTGAAATTTATTACACAGATACCCTTTTTATCTATCTTCTGTCAATGTTGCTAATGGAAAGTGATGATTTTACCCAAAAATTTTTTATTATTTTATAATTGCCTTTCTTCAACTTTAGTATCCAAAACAAATTAAAATAATTAATAAAATGAAATAAGATTTGATTTAGGACCCAAAAATTGATTAAATGAATTTTAATATTAATTTGAAAAAAATAAATATTAATTTGATATTAATTCAACAAAGTTAAATATAAATTGGACAAAATTAAATGTCAATTTTTTTATAAAATTATATATTAATTTACAATCTAAGATTCATTTCATGTTGAATATTATTTGGTGTTGATTAAAATAACATGAATGGAAGGAAGGAAAGGTTTTCAACTGTTTGGTATGAAAGAAAAAGATGAGGGAAAGGAAAATTTGAGGGAAAGTCTATCTTTCCCACCCACTAAAAATTTTCCCCCCAAAAGTGGGCAAAAGCTAGTGGGAAGCTGTAGACCAACTAATAATTTGTCTGTTTTGACATTTTTGCCCTTGATACACTTCTTAAAATCTTGATTTAGTACCCACTTGGAACATCTTATCTGAAAACTCTTCCAAGACAAAAGGATGGACGACGAGGTACCCAACGGATTGAAAAATCAACTACAGCATGCTTGTTATAGAAAATGTGTATATAATTAGATTATATTAAACTGTATAAAATCTAACTTATGCACTAATCTAAACAAAATATATATATATCAAAACCAGTGCATTTACATTGACGTAGAACATCACGAATAGTAAAATCCAGAAATCCAATAATAAAAATAATAATTCGAGCCCTGTGTAATCACCGTTTTCTTAAGACAGATTTGCTCCTTCTCGGTGCTTAAGATTGATAAGCAATTGTCTCCCAAGATAGAACGTATTTTATTCTTGAAGATGCAAAACTTCAATCTCTAAGACTCCAACGAACACAATTTTCTGTTTATACTTAAATCGAACTTGAAATAATAATGCAGCAATATGTAGAGAAAGAGAAGACAGACTTTAATTCAATATTTTGCATAATTGAAAGAGCTAGAATGAGAGAGCAATTCTTGAATTGTTCAATGGTATATTTTAGGAGTGTAATGAATCACCTATTTATAGACTCTCTAGTTGTTTTTCATAAAAGGTATAACCATATGTAATAGTACATTTTAATCTAAAAGATATCAACGATAATTTCATAAAAAAGTACAACCATTTAAAATAGTACCTTTTAGTTCAAAAGATATAAAATATAAAATATAAAACATAAAACTAGGTGAATAATCATGTTGTGGCATACATAACACACATTTACTTACAACCAGAACTCTAATAGACATAAAAGTGGAATCCGCTGGAAGAGCATTCTTCAAAATTTTTACGGACTGAATATATGGACTTGTGAGAGAGAAGCTCTGCCTTCTCTCTAGAATTTTATCTCTTTCATGAGTTCTTCACCTATTCAACACTAAATCCCACCAAAACCACCAGATTTATCCTCTAAAACACCTCAAACTTATGCTTCACTATTCATAATCAATCATTACAGCCCAGTGATTTGTCCCAACCACAAAAAATTGACAAACAAGTTGTTTTGTACCAAGGAGAACTAGCCTTCTACTTCACCAATGAAGAAATACAAAGTTTAATTCAAGCTCTCCAGTATGCCTTGATTGGCAAATGTTCATATGGAAGACCTTCTCTTGGAGTTATCAAAGAAGTTATCAAATCAAAGTGGAGNTTCTCTTGGAGTTATAAAAGAAGTTATCAAATCAAAGTGGAGTCTAAAAGGTGATTTTGAAGTTGGATCCATGGACCAAAGACACATACTTCTTAGGTTTGAGAGGCATGAAGATTATGTAAAGACGTGGCTGAAAGATGCAACCTTGGTAGAAGACTATCTATTCAAACTTTTTAAATGGTTCTCAGGCTTTGTCCTAGGCATTGAACCATCTGTTGTGCCTTTGTGGATCTCACTGCCTGGTTTGCCATTGAACTTTTTTAACAAGCCTTACTTGGAGTTGTTGGTAAAACCCATTGGAAGAGTTTTAGCCTATGATCAAACTACTCTATTTATGTCAAAACCAGGAGTGGCTAGAGTTTGCGTGGAGGTCAATCTACTACAAAACAATCTGAATAGAATTTGGATTGATATGAGCGAGAAAGGAGCAAGATGGCAAAAGATAATCTATGAACGAAGAAAGCAGTACTGTAAGAGCTGCAAGAAGCAGGGACATGGAGAAGATACATGCAAGAAAAGGAAAGTATTGCCAATGGGAGAAGATGGGCAAGGGCAGAGTGCAGATTTGGAAGTAAAAAATTTTGCTAAGGCAAGTAAGGAGCATATTAAATGGAAGGAGGTATGGCTAGGTTCAAACCTAAAGAAGATAACTAAGGAAACAAAGGATCACAAAAAATCTCAGCATCAAACAAAGCATCCAAAGCCAGCATAGCAATCAAAAGGAATATGGAAACAGCAGCAACAACCTAGGCAAGTCAATAATCCAGCAAAGGAAAGAGTCACATTTGGAAAGGCATCGAAAAGTGTCATTACAGTCAGGGATATGGAGAAGGAAAAATTGCTTGCAAGTATGGAAAATGGAGAACATTCAGGGAAGAATATTGCGAATCAGAATGGAGAAAATATTCTGCAAACGAAATGTGCTCAACGGAGAGATATTGAAGATCTTTTACTAACCAATCCGGATTTGGTTCTGGATTTGAATGATGATGCAGAACATGTTACCAATGAAGTTTCAAAAATTTCAAGACAAGATAATATGAATGAGGCCCAGGACAGGCAGGGTGGTGGTTTTAATGGACATGACATGCAAGACCCGACAGTAATGTAGGAAGGTGGAGATTGGGATAAGGGGGTACAAAATTTGTCTTTAAATAATGCTACCACATGTGATACACCCTCTAATCAGAACAATGTAGTCAATCATCTTGATCAAAACAATGATGTCAGTCCTCTTGATCAGAACAATGATGCCGAAACAATGATTAAATCTAGTTATGATTCTGCTGCATATAAGTTGGTTAATTTAAATGATGAGAATGATGAGAATGAATTTTCTATTTTTTTCTGAAGATGTCTTGGACGATGGGATAGACGAGTCCTCATCTTTGTTGGATTATGGTCACTATAAGCAAGATTTTGAATCCTTAACAGTGGAAGCCGGGGAGAAATCAAAGTCCATTACTCTGGAAATGATGGCAACAATCCATAAAAATATTCATAGTCAAGGAGAGATAATTCCAAGCATATCAGGGGAGGAGATTCAAAAGGCCTTGAAGCTAAAAGGAGTTTATTCAAAGGATGACTACGTTAAGAGGTCCACTCTTCATGAGCAATCAAGGGATTTTTACTCTGATGCAGAGGAGGCACCAATGGTTCGAGAAAATGATTTCAATTCTTTTATGACATCTTCTAAAAGGTTACTGTCAATATGCAATAAGGTTGAGATGTAGAAGAAGAGAAAAGAGGAGTAGTTGTCTGCTTGGGCTTTGACACTTGATAAAGTCAAACCTATAATTATGACAAGATCAAGAACGTTCAAGTTACCAAAGTCAAAGAAATCTTATGGATTTAGATATTATTAATTTTTTTATGAGGATTTCTGCAGCCACTACGATTCCAACATTGTCTTTCAGCTGTGTTATTCGAAGAAAGCAGCAAATTAATGTTCAACTGCCCATTACTGTTCATGATACTGTTTATCTAACTTTCTGCTGGACTGTCAGCTAGCTCATATCCTTTGAACTCTTCGTTGACTGTAAAATGCAGTGTTTGCAGTCATTGTTAAGACTTTATTTTGTATTTAAAGTTCTTTTATTATGTAAGGGAAAATGTTTATGTCCTCTCCTCTCTTTATAATTTTGCTATTAATAAAATTTGTCCTAAATGGGTTTAACGTAAAAAAAAAAAAAAAAAAAAAAAAAAAAAAAAAAAGGTGAA